CTTTTGCAGGAGGGGCCACTGAGGCAGAGGACTGGCTGGGGGTGAAGTTGCTGCATTCGCTTTGGGTATGATGATTTGGAGAATGCCTGAGGGTCATCCAGGAGGCCTTTGGGAAGCATGCAGATAGGTGGTCAGAGGTTGAGGTCCCAGATTGGGTATGGAGGGGGTCGTCGGCTTTGGGGAGAGAGTGAGCTATTCATTCGACAAGCAGCACAGGAGCGCCTGTGCTGGACCCTCTGTGTTCCTGTCTGGGTGCCTGCGCCTGGGCGAGGCCTCGCTGCTTGTTGAATACACCAGGAGACAGACTGCAGATGAGCTCGGAGTGTGGGTGGGTTCTAGCAGGGGAGACAGAGTGAGGCCCCAGTGTTCTAGCACGTGAGGCCTGGGTGTAAGGCCAGCCCTTCTGGGTACTGGTCGTAAGACCCTGGGTTGATCGCTTCTCGCACTACTGAGCCTCAGTTTTCTTATCTGCAGTCTGGTCCCCGGGGATGTGGCAAGAATTTGGAACATGCTTGTGGAAGCATGTAGCTTGGAGCAAGGAGCGGGCTTTGGGGACACCCTGGGACATAAGAGGAGTCACCTACTTCCTGGGGCTGCAGACTCAGGGCATGGGAGAGAATTGGGATCCGCCTGGCAGACACGTCCACAGCTGCTTCCCATGTGGGGAAGGAGACTTCAGTCCCCGCCCAGTCCCCTCCCACCCCAGCCAGCTGGAGGGCTGGGCGTGGGCTGGACAAGGGGACCAGATGGTAGGAACCTCTGCAGTCCCTCGGAGCTGCTGGCGCTGGGTCCTGGCACCGCCCAGCCCTTGGATCCTGCCTTGGATCTGTCTGTGACGTGCTTCTTCTCTGGCCACTCCACAGGGCCAGACAGACTGCAAACTGGAGGCCTGGGGGGTGGAACCGGCCCTTGACGGGGCTTGGTTTTGTCCTTGCAGATTTTTTTTTTTTAAATTTGCTAGAGGGTGCGTGCTCTCCCCAGAGAGAGAGACAGACAGAGGAAGGGAGAGAAAGTACCCTGGTAGGATGGCCACTCCCTTTTCTCCCATTCTCCTCTTGGAATTTTGGGCACACAAGCACAAGTGCCTGGAGTGTTTTTCAACCCTCTGGGTCCAGGACTCGAATTGCGCAGTAGACTGTGTGCAGTCCAGCCCCCTTAACCACCACACCAACTGGCTCATGCAGAGTTGTTTTTAAAAAGAATGGAACCAACGTTTAAAAATCTGCAGATACTACATAAAACCTGTGTTTGGGGAATCAGTGTGCCCAAGGATCTGGCTGCACCTGGCTATTCCCAGGGGACTATGCTTAGCTGAGATGAGGCGTGTGCCCCAGTCCCCACCACTCCCTCTCGCCTCTCTGAAACTGAGGCCGAGCAGTGGTAAGTACTGATCACCACCTCCAGCCCACTGCTTGCCTGTTAGATCCCTGCAGTAGGCTGGTAGGCTGCTTACCAGCCCAGAACCGGCCTCCTTCCCCTCTGTGAGCACCGAGGCCTCGGCCCCGGGTCCAGCCTGAGTCCGTTCCCACCCCCATCTCTAAGCATCTCAGAGTCCCTGTTGGCCTCTTGCTCTGCCCTCAAGGCCCAGTACCACGCTCTGCGGGAGGGGGAGGCTGGGACTTGGCCGAGGCTGGTTGGACCCGTGGGAGGCAGCCCCACATCTGCTCTGAGACGTGTCAGCTGGGCCTGGTCACACTCCTGCAGCTCATCCCTGAGGCATGTGGGACCAGGCGCAGGGCTCGTGGCCCAGCCAGGGCAGTGGGCGGGGCCAGGCCGGACATGGGGTGTGCATGTCAAGGCCACACAGGGCAGGCCTGATATCCCAGCTGCAAACACGCTGGCTGAACTGGAGGGGAAGGAGGGAGGCAGAGCTGCTTACGGTACCCAAATACAGAGGGAGGAAGGGTTGAGTCACACCCCGAGTTGCTGTGTGACCTGGGGTGGGTCATCTTACCTCTCTGAGCCTCTAACTGAAGATGAAACCAGAGAGAGACCCCAATGGCAGCCTCATGGGCGGTTTCAGTGCTACCATGAGACCTGAACCCCAGAGGGGGGGCCCAGAATGGGGACAAAAGGCCCAG